CCTCTAATTCCAGGAGAGTTTCCTCTGCAGTTTTTCTCCTAACTCTTTTCTCCACTTTTATTAAACTATCTTTTCCTGGACTATCAGTGAGCTCCTCCCTATTCCGCTATTTTGGAGCCCCTAAATCTATTGTTAAAGATTTCCACTACATTCTTTATTTTCTATTGAATTCTTCATTTCCAATATTTCATTTGATTTTTCTTTAAATTTTCAATTTCATGGGGAAATATTCATTCATGTCATGTATGAATGTATTTAATTTGTGGATTTGCCTCTGGTCATTTCTAAATTATCCCATGATCAATTTTTTGAATTCCATTTCTGCCATTTCTTTAATCTTTTCATCTTCACACATTCTAGTATAGAAGTGTCATGTTCCTTTGGGGATGTCATGTTTTCTTCCTTATTCTTATTTCTTGTATTGCTGATTTTTTTTTGACAGACAGAGTGGACAGTTAGAGAGAGAGACAGAGAGAAAGGTCTTCCTTTTGCCATTGGTTCACCTTCCAATGACTGCCACGGCTGGCACATTGCGCTGATCCGAAGCCAGGAGCCAGGTGCTTCTCCTGGTCTCCCATGTGGGTGCAGGACCCAAGGACTTGGGCCATCCTCCACTGCACTCCCTGGCCACAGCAGAGAGCTGGACTGGAAGAGGGGCAACTGGGACAGAATCTGGCGCCCTGACTGGGACCAGAACCCGGTGTGCCGGCGCTGCAGGTGGAGGATTAGGCTATTGAGCTGCAGCGCCGGCCGTATTGCTGATTTTATATTTGGCATTTGTAGAGATACTTTTTCCCCCTTTGATGGCTTTTATCTTTGTACTATCCATCTGTGGCTTAGTGGAGGGACAGCTGTTTCAGTTGATACCTAGAAGTATCTGCTGGATGTGTCCAGGGAACTCTGTTCAGTGCTCCAGGGTGAAGGGAGTGTCCAAGGTGATACCCACATTGGTTGTGGTAAATCTCCTTTTTTTTTAATCAGAGGAGAGGTCTAATCAGTTCTGTTGGTGTAGTCTCACACTCACCTCCTCTCCTCCAAGAAGACCAATGCTTGGGTGCTAACTCCACTGGGTACAATATTCATTTGTGTTGCCACAAGAACCACACAGAATATCTGTGCAGTCATCAGTGTGAGCAATGTGTCCTGCAGCAATGACCCTCATCAGGGAATCAGGGAGTCCTGGGCATGTGGAGCTACCCACAGTGACTGTCCAAAGACCCAGCCACACCTCTGCTCTCCTATGCAGCCACAGTGTTTTCACAATCCCAGCACACAAGGATCCCACAGTCACAAGCACCTAGCTCCCTGTCAGTTATCTCAGCCAGACTCAGGTGTCTCCTCTCAGATGGTTGCTAGGCATGTGGATGCAAGCTGGTGTAGCTGATACGTATGTCTAAAATGGTGCCAGCTCTTTCAGCTATTTACAGTACACTGGTGCCATGTGATTGGAGATACAGAAATGCGCCCCCCATTTTTTTCCTATAGGTTGCAGGTATATTGTCCCCCACCAGGCTCCAAGCCTAACTCACCCTGGGTCTTCCCACAGATTTATTGCCCTCTTGATCTTCTTAGTCTGGTCTTACCTCCCTCTCCAATGCTGGTGCTGAGGCTCTGTGCTGCTGGGCTCCTGAGTTGTGTGCACCCACAGCCTCCATATAGGTTCACAGTGTCACTTCAATTTGTATGGAGTTTCCTCTGCTGTTTTCTCCCTAACTCTTCTCTGAGATTATACTCTTTCCACTTTTTTTAAAAACTATCTTCCCCTAGACTAGAGCAGTAAGTTCCATCCTTATTTCACCATCTTGGCATCTCCCTTTTATTTTTTATAAAAATGATTGTTATTCATATTTTCCTGTAACTAGCTTATTGCCACTCAACTATACATTGAACAATAGTTCAGTGTTAAAAAAAAAAAAAACAGCTCTGGGGCCAGAATAGTGGCACCACAGATTAAGCTGTGTCTTGTGACGTTGGCATTCCATATTGAGAGTTGGTTCCAGTCCTGACTGTTCTGTTTCTAATCCAGCTTCCTGCTAAAGTATCTGGGAAGGCAGCAGAAGATGGCCCACGTGTTTCAGACCCTGTCTTCCATGTGAGAGATCCAGATTGAGTAGCTGGCACCTGGTTTCTACCTGGCCCAGCCCTAGTTGTTGTAGATATTTGGGGAATGAATTAGTGGATGAAAAATCTCTGTTTTTCAAATAAATAAAATAAAACTTTAAAAAATAAAAATATAGGGGCTAGTGCAGCAGATTCAGCCACAGTTGTGATGCCAACATCCCATGTTCAAGTACTGACTGCTCAGCTTCTGATCTGACTACCTGCTAGTGAGCCTAGGAAGGCAATGGAAGATGGCCCAAGTACTTGGACCCCAGACACCAATGTGTGATCTGGATGGAGTTCCTGGCTCCTGGCTTTGGCTTGCTCCAGGCTTGGTTATTGTAGGCCATTTAGGGAGTAACCTTTCAAATAAATAAACAAGCAAACAAATAATTATTAAAAGAAATACAGCTCTCTATCACTACTTTAACAGCTATAACAGAATTCTACATTATTGACATAGTATTTATTTAAATTGACTCAAAAATTTTTAAATGATTAATTATGCTACGATAAGTAGTTTTATATGATTCACATTTTAAAAATTATTTGATATCATTCTCTCTGTTTAAAAAGATTTATTATTTATATGAAAGGCAGAGTGACAGATTTAAGGAAAGAGAAATAGAGAGAATCTTCCATTTGCTGGTTCATTTCCTGAATGACTTCAATCGCCAGGGCTGGCCCAGGCCAAAGCCAGGAGCCATGAACCTCATCTGAATCTCCCACATGAGTGGCAGGATTCAAGTGCTTGGACTATCTTCTGCTGCTTTTTTATCTGCATTAGCATGGATCTGGATCTGAAGTAGAGTAGGTGAGACTCAAATTCATGCTCAGATATGGTATGTCATTCCTATGAACTTACTTCTAAGGGTACAGTTTAAAAACTTTCATTGGACTCCAAATCCTATTAAAATTGGTGGTAAAAATGCCATCTTAATTGTTAAAGTATAAGTGTTAAAGTGAACACATACATAGGGTTAAGTGTTATAGAGATCATATAAATAGGATCAAGTGCCCTGCAATAATAATAGATAGAATTAAAAAGGAGAAAATATACAACATGGGAAGCAGTCCCCATAGCAGACTCATAGAATGACAGTCACTTTAAGTAACACGCTGACCTCAGAATCAGCCCTTAAGGTTTCCTGGTATGGCTGAAAGGCCCATGAGAGCAATTCTGGCAAGGAAAACCAAGACACTGTGGCAAAAAATGTTCTACATGAAGGCTCTCTGTGAGTGAGACCCCAGTGGAAAGAAGTGGTCATCAAAGAAGGATATACTTTTCTCTAAAAGGAGGAGATAACACTTTGCTTATGGCCTTGTCCAAATACTGACAGAGTGTGTAGACTCAAAAGGCTTCCATAGCCTAGGCAGCTCATGTCAAGAGCCTTGGGTGGTCACTGACATCATACATAAGAGCATTAATTGTTAACAACAAGAGTCACCATGTGCTAACTCTGCATGCAGGACCTCTGTCCTCAATGAGTTTTATTGAGAATTAACTGTAAAACCAATTTTCAAACAGGTTTTTTTGTGTATATATGTTTGTGTGTGTGTGTGTGTGTGCAAATTGTTGAAATCTTTACATAGTATAGAGTTGACTGCCTGTGTACTAAGTTAATTGAAAATGAATCTTAATGGAGAATGGGACTGGCAAGGGTACAGGGTGGGAGTGGGGGTGGGAGGGCAGGTATGGTGGGAAGAATAATTATATTCCTGAAGTTGTACTCATGAAATTTGTATTCCTTAAAAATAAATTTTAAAAAAGTAAAAAAAAAAAAAAAGATATGGTATGTGGCAAGTATGGTATGTGGCTTAACCTGCTGTGCCACAAAGCCAGAACCTTCATTTTCTTTAGAATATTAAACCTAGAGTAGCTTGGTATATGACATATTTTAAGCTGTTAATACAAATTGACTAATTGTTGGGAAATCGTTTTAAAAGTAGGACATTCTTCCTAAGAAGAAAAAAAATATAAAACAATATGTTCAGTACTTCAGACAGTTTAGCATTTAGCAGCTTGAAACCACACATCTCTGCTGTTATTCTAAATGTTAAGTTCACATTTCAAACATAACAACCTAATTAGGTTTAGTCATCACTTAGTTGTAAGGCATCATACGGATACTTGTTAAATTGATAAATGCAAGCACAAGAAAAAGAGAATATGTAATGTTTGATAGGGAGCTAGTCTTACCATAAACCCAAAATTATGAGCCTACTTCTTGGTAAATTCTAAGAAACACACCAGAAAGAGTTGCCACACAAAATAATTAATTTAATTTAATTGGTTTTAGGATATTGTAATAGAAATAAGTCAGATTAAAGACTTGAACTGCACAGGGCATTACCTGGTAACAAGATCCTCCCTGTAGTATTATCCTGCTCCTCATTTTTTAAAGGTTTATTTATTTATTTTGAAAGTCAGGGTTACAGAGACAGAGAGGTCTTCCATTTGCTGGTTCACTCCACATTTGGTCACAGTGGCCAAGGCTGGGCCAGGCCAAAGCCAGGAGCCAGGAGATTCATCCGGGTCTCCCAAATGGGTACAGGGTCTCAAGCATTTGGGTCATTTTCCACTACTTTCTCCACCTTATTAGCAGGGAGTTTGATCTAAAGTGGAGCAGCCAGGCATGAACTGGTGCTCATATGGGATGCTGGTGTCATAGGTGGCAGCTTTACCCACTATGCCACGATGCTGGCTCCCTGCTCCTCATTCTTCTGGGGCATGGGTCAAAGGTCTTTCTTCTGGATTAACTCTGCTGAGTGAGAGAGTCCTCACAGGAACCAGCAGAGGAGCAGAATTTCCCCCGGCTAATCTAAGTTAGGTTGTGGGTCATCAGGTATAGCCCTGAGTTGCTTGTATCCTTGTGTAATAAGGACAACTTTATCCTTGTTTACCTTGCAACTTTATCATTTTAATGTGTTTAGTCACAAAATGTAGTGGACAATTGAATATGCATAGCCCAGAGAGAAGAGAAGAAGTAGAGCGCCAAAGGGCCCATGAATGCAAGAAATAAAGTCATTCTGAGGAAGGCTTGTTTGATTGGCTGTTTTCTATTAACTAGATGACTTCTTCTGGTAATGTTGTTGTACTCTCTTCTATTGTCCTTTCCAATCTATAAGCAGGGCTTTAATACAGACAGTAAATATATTGTTAAACACCAAGAGGTACTTGTATCTCCCAGGAGCTATGGGTGTAACAGTAAAATCAGCTTGCCATCTTTCTTCAGTGAAGTTCTCTGGATTTGATTGTCCTAGTCAAAGGGTGGAGGGAGATACAGAACACTTGGTTTTTACATTATTTATTGACAAAAAGCCACATTGTCCAATTATTTTCTTAATCAGATCTTTTATGCCTGGGGTGTATATGAGCCTTTAGAACCACAAGTATAAGATCTCCTTTCCATATGGGTAGAATCATGAACACCCTAAGGAGTCTCTATGCTGACAGTATGGAGACCCAAATCTTTCCTTGTTGGTTTATCATATAGCACTTAACTGTTGGGGACCATTGATAACAACTTGTAAAGGCTTCCCTTATTTCCTCAGGAGTTTCCACTGGTGTAGACTTACAGAAAGGAAGAGATGGAAGTAATGGCTGCTGAAGAAACTCTCCTGAGATAGCAGCCCTTAGTGCAGCTGCACCTGCTAAATTATTTCCTTTCCTAGGCTCTGATTTTCCCTTTTAATGACCTCTACAGTGCTGTAGTTGCTTCTTTGGGGCCAGGCACTGCTTCTAACTGTTTAAGAATCTCTGATCCATGTTTAATGTCTTTTTAGAAAGTGTTTACTTTTTTATTTATTTGAAAGGCAGAGTGACATGGAGGGAGGGAGAGAGGGAGGGAGGGAGAAAGTAAGTATGAATCTTCTATCTTCTATCCACTGGGTCACTTTCTTAATGCATGCAACAGCCAGGGCTGGGCTATGTTGAAAACAGGAGCCAGGAACTCTGAGCCATCACTTGCAGCCTTCCAGATGCATTAGCAGGAAGTAGGATCCAAAGTAGAGGGAGAGATAGGACTTGATCCCAGATACTTTGGTATGGGACAATCTCTTAACCTACTGAGTTATAATGCCCACCCCTCATGTTTGATTTTTTTTTTTTTTGCTGCTGTTTAAAAATCCTTATTTTCTTTCCAAATGGCTCTAAGAGCTTGGGTAATAGAAGGCATACTTGGAATCTGTGAATTAATTATTTCTCTCCTGGTTCTAAAGCTCTGGTTAATGGAATTATATTTTTGTTTTTTGAGTGGATGTATCTGGTGCTAGTTTCTATGGTTAAATGCAGGGACACTAATGCATCACCTTCTTCTTTCTGTCCATTTTTTATGAAGGCAATCCCACCCACAAACAATATTATTGTTTTCTATATTAGGTAATGATTCACTCTGGAGATTTTTCTGGCTAGAGAAAATTTGATCCATCACATCTGGGCAGGCATGGGTAAAAGGCCTCTTGTATCAAGAAACAAGTAGCTGGATTTAGGGTATGGCAGGTAGTTAAAGAGATCTGATGGGAGTGTAGCAGCATAGCTTGTCACAGAAATGTTTTATTTTGGGATAGCCATAGATGTTTTTTAGTCTCTAGTAGACTACAGATCCAATGAGGGAGTCCTCCTGTCATAGGTTGACCCATAGTTAGCTTCTCTGCTTCCTATCTCTGCTTCTTATCTCAGGTAGCTGCTACAGCCTTCAAATAATGGGGGTTATCCTTTTGTCATAGTGTTTAACTGATTTAAGGAGTAAGCTACAGGGGCCAACAATGTAGTACAGTAGGTTAAACCCCAACCTGTGTCATCAGAATCCCCCTTGGATGCTGGTTCGAGTCCTGGCTGCTCCATTTCTAATCCAGCTCCCTGCTAATGTGCCTGGGGAAGCAGCAGAGGATGGCCCCAGTGCTTGGGCCCTTGTACCTTCATGGGAGACCAGGAAGAAGCTCCTGGCTCCTGGTTTTAACCTGGCCTAACCCTGGTTGATGTGGTCATTTGGGGAATAAATCAGTGGATGGAAGATTTCTTTGTCTCTCTCTCTCTCTCAACTCTTTCAAACAAATAATCTTTTCTAAAAAGTAAGCTACCACTCTAAATTTGTAAAGATCCCAACATATGGATTAATGCAACAGCTAGTCCCTGCTTCTCATGAACATAAAGGTCAAATGATTTATTTAAGTCTGGTAAAGGCAGTCTGGGCACTTTTACATGTAGGCTTTTACACTTTTTGAAAGCTTTGTCATGTACCTTATCCCATTTAAAAGGAGGCATTTAGTGCCACGTGGTTTATCACAGAAAGGCTTAGCAATCAACCCAAAGTTTAAATCCAAATGTGGAAAAAGCCTACCAGTCCCGGGAATTCTCTCTCTTGAGGAAGATTATACTGTTCTTTTGAAACAATGAACCCCACGTATTTTAGGTATTTGTGTCTAGGTATTTGTGTCTTTTCTTTAGATGCTTTATACTCTTTGCTGGCTAGGAAGTTTAACATGGCTACAGTGCTTGTTATATAAGAGATTTCCTTAGTAGGGCTGGCTATCAAGATGTCATTTATGTACTTTGAAACAATATACTGTTTTAATTTTAATTTTCTTAAATATTAGCTCAAAATTTCTGTGAAGATAGCAGGGAAGTTTTAAACCCTGGGATAAGACAGTCGATCAGACTATTGTTTCTGGTGGGATAGCAAAAACAAGTATCTCCTGAGGTTCATAATTCAACAGGATGCAGGAAAAAGTATCTTTTAAGTCCAACCTGAATAGTACTTGCTATCCCTGGGGGAAATTTGCCAGTATGGTAGTAAGAGCTAGGTACCACAGGATGTATGTCTCAGAGTAGGTTATTGATAGCCCTAATATCTTAAACAAATCTACGTCTCCTATTCCTATCTTCTTAACAGGTTGAGTAGGAGTAGTACATGGAGATCTGCATGGCCTGATCAATATCTGCTCTAAAATCTTAGCTTCTGCTTGCAAGGGATACTGTTTTACCCAGGGCTAGTGATCTATCTGTTTTAATTTTACTCTTACTGGTGTGACACTGATTGTCCCAAATGTGTTGTGTCTACACTTTTGAATTAAATTAGGCTTAGAACACTTAGAAGGATCACTTCCTTTTCAGGTGCTGGTGTATTTTATAAATAAGACTACTAGCTCAACTTACTGACTTCCAAAGAGTTGTGCCTTAGGGCCAGCATTGTGGCATAGTGGATTAAGCAGCTGCCTGCAGCACTGGCATCCCATATGAGCACTAGTTCAAGTTCCAGCTGCTCCATTTCTAATCCAGCTCCCAACTAATAGGCCTGTGAAAGCAGCAGAGGATGGCTCCAGAGCTTGGGCCCTAGAACCCACATAGGAGACCAGGAAGAAGTTCCTGGCTCCTGGATTCAGCCTGACCTAGCACTGGCTGTTGCAGCCATTTGGGGAATGAACCAACAGTTGGAAGACCTCTGTGTGTGTGTGTGTGTGTGTGTGTGTGTCTGTAACTCTATCATTCAAATAAATAAAATAAATCTTAAAAAGAAAGAAGAGTCGTATCTCAATTTTGTCTTGTTCTCAGTTTATTGAGGCCCCTAAGTTAGATAATATGTCTATTTTATAGGTCAAGGAATCCAGAAATCCCTTAGTATCTAATTTTTTGGATACTCTTTCTATACTATATCTTATCAAAAAGATCTCCCTTTTTGGTATATATCAGGAAGAACGTGGCTCCAGTTCAGAACAGAAGTTTAACAAATTGTCCTCCCACGGGTTACATGGGGAACTCCTCAGGGAAGATGAGGATCTGGTTGAAGGATCCACCTGAGGAGCCCCACAGCCCTGTCCCATCTCATCTTCAGTTAAAGATAGCTAGCATGATTCAGTCCTGTCTGATTCCCTCCCACTCTCTGAACAGTTTAGGAATTTCCGCTTCTGGTGCCCTTTCTATTTTTAGTAAGCACATTACTTCAGTCACACTTCTTTTGTGGCCTTCTGATTCCTTGGTAGAGGGTAGGGCCACTCACTCATGGTGTCTTCTTCCTCTCTCGCAGTTTACTTTGAGCAGATTGGAGCGCCACAGCCAAAAGGGTAGATTGTCTCTGTATCTTTTTGTCTTTTATTTTCTTCCTCAATCATATTTCAGTTATTAAACACTGCAAAAGTATCTTCCACTAACTGAGTAAAGTTAGTATCAGCTCAAGGCTGATTGCCAGATTTTTTAACCATTCTATGGTTGCCTGGCACAATTTGAGATATGAAATATGTATCAGGAGCCATTGTACTACTTTGGACATCAGGATCCAAATTAGTCTATCATCTGAGGTAGTCCCATAATCTTTATAAGAAGGCAGAGTGGTTTTCATCAAGGCCCTGTTATGCCTCTCTCAATTTACAATGATTAATAGGTAGCTGACCCACTATTTGCATAAATCTCAAAAATAGACCTGAAATGTACTAACTTTTTGTGGTAACTTAGAGCATTTTCCATTTAGGATCTTCTTTGGCACTGTCCATTTATTTGGCCATCAGGCATTCAATGCTGGGTCATACTCCTTGTTTGTTAACTAGCTTTTAACATGACAGCTGACTTGTCTTTAGCAGTAGGTAGGTTGGTCAGCAGGCTTTGGATATCTGCTCAAGTGGAGTTTTGAGTGATAAAAATTCTCTTGAGCAAGTTAATAATTTCCTCTCCATCTGTGTATCTTTCTGTGTGTGTGCTCTAGTGATATAAGTCAGAGCAGAGGAAGTATGTACATTTTATAAATTCACCTTTACCATGAGGCACTTACCTGAAAGGATGAATTCCAGGTTTATAGCTGGTTCCTAGTCTAGTCATGCTTTCTTTCTGTAAAACAAAACAAAATAAAATGAATGAACAAAATAACCCCAGAAATCCAATTGCAGTATAATATTAAAAGGTAGGGTCACCCTCCCTCCTTTTTTGACTCAGTGAGGAGTGTATACTTCTCTTTTCATATGCCTTCTTCCCCTTGTGCCTGAATAATTCAATAGGAGAAAGCTAGGGAATGGGCTTTAAATTACTCTTGAGTCTGACAAGTTATTTTTGAATTCCTTTTAACAGAAAGACAATAAGGCCAGAGGCTAGGTCCACTTGCCAGTTGAGCACTGGATCCTAAATGAGGTCCTTCTGTCAGGAACTCACATCCTGAATGTACAGTACAAGAGAGATGAGATTAGAACAAGGAAATTGAAGTTTATACCTCCAATTGTCTGAGGGAATTCTCTGAGCAAGGGAAAGGTAAACCAATAAGTTATAGGACCTCACCAAAAGTGATAATAGAGGAGTGAAGGAAGTGAGAACAGCTTAGGCACCCTGAAAGTCAGTCTGACAATTAAAGCTCTGAGAAGGAATTTGGGCATTCCCAATAAAGTGACTCCAGAGGGACTTGAACCTGTACTTTGTCACCATCTGGGAGTTGCTAAGGGAACTCTAGCCCATTCTTTGCAGCTTTCCTCAGATTAACTAGTCAAACTTTTTAGACCATTCCCATTTCACCAGAGCCAAGATTAAGGCCTTCCTTTGGCTATGTTCTGTGGTCCTCACAACAAGGCTCTACTCAGACTTTGTGAGATAGCTCAAAAAAATAATCCTTATGGCGAGGCTGTGGGGCTGGAACCACTTACCTCCATTGAGAAATCCACTGAGCAAAGAACTCACTGGTCACTGGTGCCAAGAAGGGAGTCCTTTTTCAAGAACCAATCCCTGATTCCAGGTAGTGTGTATGGGTTAGTCTGGGGAAGCTGTCACTGCCCCAATTACACTGTCTGCTGGAAACCAGGAGGTCAAGAGATGAGAACCTTAGAGAAAGAGCAGTCCCATCTGGGTTGCCAAATGTTAACCACCCAACATTGTGGGCCTATTTCCTAGAGAATTCTAAGCACCAGAAGGAGTTTTCATGCAAAGTAATTTGTTTGTAGCAAATAAAGATTTCCAAAGCTATAACTCTACAAAAAGAGGAAATGGTGCCTTTTATAATGGCACAAATGAAAATGTAAGAGGGGAAGTTCTTGTCATTACAAGTAGGAGTGGGTAAAAGTTCATACAAGTGTGGTTCAGAAACATGCTCCAACGTGGGCTGCATGTTTTGGTAATAAGGCTTAAGTTTTTCCTGGGGAGGAGCTCTTAGTATTAGAATGAAGCAAAAGATGATATTTTGACCTATCTACACAGGTGTTGCTCTTGTAATAGCATATGGTGGCTGGTAATTGCACCTCTCCCAGGAATATGAAAATCTGGAAGACTACTTTGGAGAACATCAGGTGCTTTTATGATCTTAAATAGACATGACTCACAATAAAAACTTTTGAGTTGCTTAGGGTGTTAGCTGGTGACATTAGTTTTCAAGGTTAACTATACATTTGAAATGTCAGTGCAGTGTCAAAATTTGTTCCTTAATTTGGATGTATTCAAATAAAAGTATTTTTGTCTCCATACTTGTCGCTCCCCCTCTTCGTGGAGGAACGACGCTAAACCCTGCCTAGGCTTCATATCCGAGTCACGGCACCATTATGTCGCTCCCCGTCTTCGTGGAGGAACGACACAGGACCCTGCACTGTTCTTTCATCTGCTCGGCCCTCCCCGGGTTTGCTGCTGGTTCTTCCCGGGTTGGCTACCGTCCCTTCCACCTCCGTGGAAGGGCGGTTCCCCCTGGCCACTTTCCCCACTTCCGCGGGGGAGAGGCACACCGCCGGCCGGCTCTCTTGGGGGCTGCACAGGTGTTCCCTCAGATGTTCCTGGTGCATGTTGTCTCTCTCCTCCTTTATAGTCCTCTTCCACCAATCCCAACTCTGCTACCCACACACCGAGTATGCTGCTCTCCTGCAATCAGGAGCAGGATCAGCTCCTGCAGGTCATCACTCAAGCTGGCGAGAGGCAGCTGCGTAGAAGTTGTTACTCCCTTCTCAGCGCCATATTGTGGGAAAGCAGATGCATAGAATAAGTCTTAATTCCAGTAACTTAGTCTAGTCCGAGTTGCTCCCAGTTGCTCCTCACAATACTCTTGCAATCTCTATAATCCTGGCATCCAATTATTTTAAAATCCATATGCAATTGTAAGCTTAAAAAGAATCCAGCCCTAGGCTGGTGCACAAATTGTAATTGGGGGGTCGTAGTTCAATAAGTGAGGCATAATGACCTATTCCATTATTCCAAGCAAATGTTACCAATCAAACTATGCTTAGGGGCAGTGGAGGTTGGGGAGGGAGGAATAAAGAATGGATTTTGGGAAATCCCTGAACTGTCTCCCATGTGCTGCAAATAAGTTCAGATGTCTTCTGCTTTATGAATGTCTACAACAGGAGAGACTACCATCACACCACAACATAGATCAAGCTTCAGATGCAAATATATTATCCATGCGAGGTTACTTTTCATTTGAATTTTTAGGATGTATATATTTATATGCTTATATATATGCTTATATATATGTAAGCAGAAAGATTCTGAATATTCATGGGTTCCTAATTGTTGTAAGAGCTCCTCTAAACTGGATTTGACCATATGCCTTCAGTGCAAGAAATTCACATTTGAAGGTATTGGATTGATGTGGGTAACATCCTGACAATACAGTTGGTTGGAGTCAATACATGCTTAAGTTTGATAATATTATGATACCTATTCTCCCTTATTGATCTACAGTAATTTAAAAGATGGAATGTAAATTCTCTACATAAGAAATAATCATAGGGCCGGCGCCGCGGCTCACTAGGCTAATCCTCCGCCTAGCGGCGCCGGCACACCGGGTTCTAGTCCCGGTCGGGGCGCCGGATTCTGTCCTGGTTGCCCCTCTTCCAGGCCAGCTCTCTGCTGTGGCCAGGGAGTGCAGTGGAGGATGGCCCAGGTGCTTGGGCCCTGCACCCCATGGGAGACCAGGAAAAGCACCTGGCTCCTGGCTCCTGCCATCGGATCAGCGCGGTGCGCCGGCCGCAGCGCGCCGGCCGCGGCGGCCATTGGAGGGTGAACCAACGGCAAAGGAAGACCTTTCTCTCTCTCACTGTCCACTCTGCCTGTCAAAAAATAAAAAAAAAAAAAAAGAAATAATCATAAACCACCAAAAAGTACATGGAAAACTCATATTATGAAAAGACTATTTTTGGATTTTAAAATGTTTTACACCAAAACAAATTTGTCTTTTAATTCTATTGTCTATAGATTTTTAAAGCACACTTGTGAAATTAAGTAACAAGTGTTTCACAAACTTAAGTAATGTACAGATCCTCCTTTTAAAGGAAAAAAATTCTTGTGGACCACTTGGTGATTACTTAAATTATTTTTATTAAAATGTTAATTAGAATATATTAAACGTAAGCTTGGTACAAATTCTTTATGCCAAAACATACTTACAAGTTAAATATAAACAAACTATAGGTCTGACGGTGTGCTGCTGCTTGTAACACCGGCATGCCATATGAGTGCCAGTTCAAGTTCCAGCTGCTCTGCTTCTGATCCAGCTCCCTGATAATGTGCCTGGAAAAGCAAAAGAAGATGGCCCCAGTGCTTCGGCCCCTGTTGCCCATGTGGGAGACCCAGATGGGGTTCCACGCTCCTGGCTTTTTGCTCCTGATGTGGCCATTTGAGGAGTGAATCAGCAGATGGAAGATCTCTGTCTCTCCTCCCCTCTCTGTAACTGCCTTTCAAATAAATAAATAGTCTAAAAAATATGAAGCTTCAAACCAAATAAGTTTAAAATGAGCAATATTAATTCAATGTGACACTTTTTTTCTGATGAAATATTTTATTTCACTTTTGAATTTTTATGCTTTTCCTATTGTGCATAAAGTGAAAGTAGAACTGTTTAAAAGATATACACAAATCTAAGACATCAATCACCAGGGATTTTTCTTTTCTTTTTTTTTTTTTTTTTTTGTTATACTATTTTCCCAACCATAGGTGTGCTTGGTAGGCAATACACCATCACAGAAGCAAGCATTAGGCAGAATACTAAGGAAATATAAAACAAGAAAGAGCTATCAGAGGGGCGGGCGCTGTGGTATAGTAGGCTAATCCTCTGCCTGGGGTGCCAGCATCCCATTTGGGTGCCAGTTAATTCTACTGATCCAGCTCTCTGCAATGGCCTGGGAAAGCAGTAGAATAGGCCCAAATGCTTGGGCCCCTGCACCTGTGTGGGAGCCCTGGAAGAAACTTCTGGCTCCTGGCTTTGGCTCAGCTCAGCTCCAGCCGTTGTGACCATTTGAGAAGTGAACCAGCAAATGGAAGACCTTTCCCTCTGTCTGTCTGTCTGTCTGTCTGTCTCTCTCTCTAACTTTACCTCTCAAGCAAATAAATAAAATCTTAAAAAAAAAAACGCTATCATATATACAGACAGGATTGGTTCCACATTCACTGTTGCATTTTCAAGTGCCAAGTATTAACTGCACATTTTTGTTCAGCTGGAAAGGAGGAAGTATTTTTTTATTTGTTTTAAATCGGTGCATGAATTTTTCTTTTCTCATTTCACCAGATGGACAAACAGATGGACTCTACAGCTACATGAAATGCTAAAGGTTGGAGAGGTCGTACTCTGAGACAGAAAGACGTGGCTCATCTTGATTCTCTCCACTGCAGTACCCATGCAAACACATCTGAGAACTGAGCTGGATGAGCACACTAGGAGATCTGGTAACAGGTACTAACAAGCATTATCAGGACTGACTGCAATACAGGGACAAGTTATGGCTATTTAAAAATACTTTGATTCATATCTTGATGATTGAATATTCTGAGAACTGGAGGAACCAGAACTATGATGCCAGAAGCTCTTTGAGGCAAGGCTTGCTTACCAATGGGCACACCAACATCTTTCACCTTCTGCATATATAGTATTAAAAAGTGAACAAAAGAAAAAGTAGAATTCAGAAAGAAAAGAATGTAATGAAGCAGGAGGACAGAAATTCAAAGAAGGAAGAGAAACCTAAGGTCAACAGTCAAAAAGGACAGGGGGCAAGAATGATTAGATATCAAAATTTAAAATCCCCAAGCTAGGAAGAACCAAAGACTAAGTACTCTTGAAGTGAAAGGCGATCTCTATAGAACATTATTCTTACAGGTGTTATCCAGGAAACAGATAAGGGCATTCATCAGATACATGACTTCTATTTTCCTTTAGCTGAGTAGTTACAAGAAAAACAGATTCCAATGTTTTCATAAGTGGTAAATAGATAACATCATTGTAGGAAAAGGGGCTTTGTCAACTTATGAGTACTGGCCCTTTCTGCAGCATCATAACTAAAAATTTCAATTTCAGGCTTTGGGTTTCCTCAGAGGATGACACTGTAGACATTAATGGTCATGGACTTTTGAGTGACAACAGCCCAAACCAATCAAGTGTCTATAAATCCTGAACAGAAAGAATAACTGTGAATTACCATTGACTTTGAACTATAAATGGTGTGGATGTCTCACTTCAAGCTCCAGCATCATAATACAACCTTCATAACTTTCTTTACAAATTTACAAGGGAATTGTATTTCAGTGACTATTTTGATATCAGGTTAAATTTTCCAAAATGTTACACATAATTCAGGTCTTTTTTTCCTACCAGTAAGAGTTCTGCAGGCCGGCGCCGTGGCTCACTTGGCTAATCCTCCACCTGCGGCGCCAGCACCCTGGGTTCTAGTCCCAGTTGCTCCTCTTCCAGTCCAGCTCTCTGCTGTGGCCCAGGAGGGCAGTGGAGAATGGCCCAAGTGCTTGGGCCCTGCACCCGCATGGGAGACTGGGAGGAAGCACCTGGCCCCTGGCTCCGGATCGGCACAGCGCCGGCCATGGTGGCCATTAAGGGAGTGAACCAACGGAAGGATGACCTTTCTCTCTGTCCCTCTCTCACTGTCTATAACTCTCTCCCTCTCTCCCTCTCTCTTTCTCTCTCTCTCTCTCACACACACTGTCTAATTCTGCCTGTCAAAAAATAAAAAAAGAGTTCTGCTAATTACAGAAACCCATAATTGCAGTGCTGTTTTTAAAAAATTAAACACAGTAATACTGCCAATGTTAATCAAAATCAAAATTTCAGAATGCAGTGGCATTCATTTGACCAAGCTAAATGTTAAAGTACGAGCTGTTTATCCCATTGACCATTTTTGCTAGGTTGAGGCTGTGTAAATCTAATGTTGACATAGTTGGGCCGGTGCCACGGCTCACTTGGTTCGTCCTCTGCCTGCGGTGCCCACATCCCATGTGGGTGCCAGGTTCTAGTCCCAGTTGCTCCTCTTCCAGTCCAGCTCTCTGCTGTGGCCCGGGAGGGCAGTGGAGGATGGCCCAGGTGCTTGGGTCCCTGCACCTGCATGGGAGACCAGGAGAAAGTGCCTGGCTCCTGGCTTTGGATTGGCACAGCGCCGGCCATGGCAGTCATTTGGAGACATAAACCAACAGAAGGAAGACCTTTCTCTTTGTCTCTGTCACTGTCTATAACTCTACCTGTCAAATAAAAAAAAAAATTCTCTCTCTCTCTCGTTCTCCAGTTCTGCCCTTCAAATAAATAAATCTTAAAAAAAGTTGATATAGTTTTTTTATTTAAATATTTGTTTACGTATTGAAAGAGTTACACAGAGAAAGAAGGACAGGCAGAGAGAGAGAGAGAGAGAGAGAGAGGTTTTCCATCTACTGGTTCACTCCCCAATTGGCTGCGACAGTCGGAGATGCGCTGATCCGAAGCCAGGAGCCAAGAAGTTTCTTTGGGGTCTCCCACACAGTTACAGGGGCCCAAGCACTTGGGCCATCTTCTACTGCTTTCCTGGGCCACAGCAGAGAGCTGCATTGAAAGTGGAGCAGTGGGTGCTATTTAACATAGTTCTGGAAGTTTTAGCCAGAGCCATCAGACAAGAAAAAGAAATTAAAGGAATACAAATTGAGAAGGAAGAAGCCAAACTATCCCTCTTTGCAGACGATATGATTCTTTACTTAGAGGATCCAAAGAACTCTACTAAGAGACTATTAGAACTCATAGAGGAGTTTGGCAAAGTGGCAGGATATAAAATCAATGCACAAAAATCAACAGCCTTTGTATACACAAGCAATGACATGGCTGAGAAAAAACTGCTAAGATCAATCCCATTCACAACAGCTACAAAAACAATCAAATACCTTGGAATAAACTTAACCAAGGACGTTAAAGATCTCTACAATGAGAATTACAAAATCTTAAAGAAAGAAATAGAAGAGGATACCAAAAAATGGAAAAATCTTCCATGCTCATGGATTGGAAGAATCAACATCATCAAAATGTCCATTCTCCCAAAAGCAATTTATACATTCAATGCAATCCCAATCAAGATACCAAAGACATTCTTCTCAGATCTAGAAAAAATGATGCTGAAATTCATATGGAGGCACAAGAGACCTCGAATAGCTAAAGAAATCTTGTACAACAAAAACAAAGCTGGAGGCATCACAATACCAGATTTCAGGACATACTACAGGGCAGTTGTAATCAAAACAGCATGGTACTGGTACAGAAACAGATGGATAGACCAATGGAACAGAATAGAAACACCAGAAATCAATCCAAACATCTACAGCCAACTTATATTTGATCAAGGATCTAAAACCAATTCCTGGAGTCTATTCAATAAATGGTGCTGAGAAAACTGGATTTCCACGTGCAGAATCATGAAGCAAGACCCCTACCTTACACCTTACACAAAAATCCACTCAACATGGATTAAAGACCTAAATCTACGACCTGACACCATCCAGTTATTAGAGAACATTGGAGAAACTCTGCAAGATATTGGCACAGGCAAAGAATTTCTGGAAAAGACCCGGGAGGCACAGGCAGTCAAAGCCAAAATCAACTATTGGGATTGCATCAAATTGAGAAGTTTCTGTACTGCAAAAGAAACAGTCAGGAGAGTGAAGAGACAACCGACAGAATGGGAAAAAATATTTGCAAACTATGCAACAGATAAAGGGTTAATAACCAGAATCTACAAAGAAATCAAGAAACTCCACAACATCAAAACAAACAACCCACTTAAGAGATGGGCCAAGGACCTCAATAGACATTTTTCAAAAGAGGAAATCCAAATGGCCAACAGGCACATAAAAAAATGTTCAAGGTCACTAGCAATCAGGGAAATGCAAATCAAAACCACAATGAGGTTTCACTTCACCCGGGTTAGAATGGCTCACATACACAAATCTGCCAACAACAGATGCTGGAGAGGATGTGGGGAAAAAGGGACACTAACCCACTGTTGGTGGGAATGCAAACTGGTCAAGCCACTATGGATGTCAGTCTGGAGATTCCTCAGAAACCTGAATATAACCCTACTGTTCGACCCAGCCATCCCACTCCTTGGAATTTACCCAAAGGAATTTAAATTGGCAAACAAAAAAGCGGTCTGCACCCTAATGTTTATTGCAGCACAATTCACAATAGCCAAGACCTGGAACCAACCTAAATGCCCATCAACGGTAGATTGGATAAAGAAATTATGGGATATGTACTCTTTAGAATACTATACCGCAGTAAGAAACAATGAAATCCAGTCATTTGCAACAAAATGGAGGAATCTGGAACACATCATGCTGAGTGAAATAAGCCATTCCCAAAGGGACAAATATCATATGTTCTCCCTGATCGGTGACAACTGACTGAACACCAAAAAGGAAACCTGTTGAAGTGAAATGGACACTATGAGAAACGGTGACTTGATCAGTATAGCCCTGACTGTTAATGAACAACTTAATACATTATCCCTCTTAGTAGTTTTTTTTGTCTATTCTATTTAATATGACTGGTTTAATTCTGTAATTAATACACAGTTATTCTTAAGTGTTGAAATTTAACTGAAATGTGATCCCTGTTAAACATAAGAGTAGGAATAAGAGAGGGAAGAGATATATAATTTGGGACATGCTCAAGCTGACTTGCCCCAAATGGTAGAGTTAGAAACATACCAGGGGACTCCAATTCAATCCCATCAGAGTGGCATGTACCAATGCCATCTCACTATTCCAAGTGATCAATTTCAGTTCACAATTGATCATAATGAAAGGACTAAGAGTCAAAGGGAGCACGTAAACAAGTCTAGTACCTGCTAATACTAACCGATAGAATAAATAAAGGGGAGAATGATCCAACATGGGATGCGAGATACTCAGCAGACTCATAGAATGGCGGATGTCCTAAACAGCACTCTGGCCTCAGAATCAGCCCTAAAGGCATTCGGATCTGGCTGAAAAGCCCATGAGAGTATTTCAGGCATGGAAAGCCAAGACACTCTGGCAAAAAAAAAAAAAAACCTAAACTAAATGAAAGATCTCTGTGAGTGAGATTCCAGTGGAAAGAACAGGTCTTCAAAGAAGGAGGTACCTTTCTCTGAAGGGAGGAGAGAACCTCCACTTTGACTATGACCTTGTCTAAACAAGATAAGAGTCGGAGAACTCAAGGGGCTTCCATAGCCTTGGAAACTCATGACTGGAGCATAGGGAGATTACTGATGCCATAAACAGGAGTGTCAATTTGTAAAGTCAACAAGAGGAGTCACTGTGCACTTACTCCTCATGTAGGATCTCTGTCCTTAATGTCCTGTACATTGTGATTTAATGCTATAAGTAGTAGTCAAACAGTATTTTTCACTTTGTGTTTCTATGGGGGTGCAAACTGTTGAAATCTTTACTTAATGTATACTAAACTGATCTTCTGTAAAAAAAAAAAAAAAAAAAAAGAAGAAGAAGAAGAAATTATCAATTCCCAACTTGACTCTCACTGGGATTAAACATGACAATAGGTCTGATCTGATTTCATCATAATTTAAAAAATCATCTATTATTTTTCACTTTATGTTTGTGTGGGAGCAAACTGTTGAAATCTTTACTTAATGTATGATAAACTGATCTTCTGTCTATAAAGAGAATCGAAAATGAATCTTGATGTGAATGGAAGGGGAGAGGGAGTGAGAAAGGGGAGGGTTGTAGGTGGGAGGGACGTTATGGAGGGGGGAAGCCATTGTAATCCATAAGCTGTACATTGGAAATTTATATTCATTAAATAAAAGTTAAAAAAAAAAAAGAAAGTGGAGCAGTGGGGACTTGAACTGGCACCCAAATGGGATGCCAGCACTGCGGGCAGCAGCTTTACCCACTATACTACAGCACCTGCCCCAACATAATTTTTTTTAATCACACAAAGGGATATATGTGGTGGGTACAGAGTAACACTAAACAGATCAGAAAGCATGACAGACTTTAGTTCTCTCCCCCCCCCCCAGCATCTTCTTCATCTTCCTGTTTTTCTGATGTCCACAGAATGAAATTATCCCTTAAGCACCCTGCATCATCTGAGTGCTTTCTTCTTACTCTTGATTCATTGTATCCAATTCAGCAACTCATCATCAGATGCTGTGTATCCAGGCTGCAGACCTTTCCAGGAGAGTTTAGAATCTCATAGTACAAGACTGAGAAGTTGTGTGCCAGGCCAAGTGGAATTGGGTGTGTGGGCTGTATTTGTTTCTTACTAATTTCAAACACATCCTGGTAAGCCTGTTGGGAGTTCAACACAGTGGTTCGCTTATTGTCTCCATATGCCACCTTAGATACCAAAAATAATCTTTCACTTTCAAGTAGAACACCTTATTTCTGGTTGTATAGCTTTGGGAATAAGATATTTGTCCAACAGCTACAGAACAACTTTGCAGATATCCTGCAGCTCCACCTCTATCTTCTCACAGCAATCTGCCCAATTACTGCTGCTTCTCCCTTCTGGCTTTCTGTTCAGTGCTGGAGCTGACACACCAGGAAGTAAGGCAGGCACCTATGCATTATAGGCAACAGACAGCAGATTTCTCTGTTGGAGAGCTTGTGCCCTTATTCCATGACTGCCTTTGTGACTGCAGCATGTCATCGCACTCAGCCTGCTCTGCCAGTTAGTCTTTTTGTACCAGCTCACTTTTATCCATGATCATTCCTTTGGGATGAGGCAAAGAAACTTACATCTGAGTGCATCAACCACTTCCTTTCCAAGCCTACTCCTCAGCCAGTGGTGGTGGCAACTGTATCTCTGTGCTGGCCACCCAATGTGAAACTTGATGTTGCTTTGCTGAAACTAAGACCCTACTTGCTGTGTGAAGACAATATGATAATATTCTTTGTTATTCAATGATCTAGTTTATTACTCCTGACTGCTGGGAAAGATGTTTTATTTCTATCTGTATGGAATCTCTTGAGACTTATAAACTCTAAGAATAAGCAAGGGTGTTCCTGGAAACCTTATTAGGTGCTGCTGCCCCGAATCTATACTACAGGAGTTGAACTAAACAGGTGTAATTATTTGGGGTGGGATAATGATTATTGCATTGTCAAAAAATCTTTTAAAAGTAAGAATGAAATCATGGGTTTTGCTCAGGGATCCTGAGGACAGTTTTTCTATAGTTCTACATTCCTAAAAGCCCTTTCTAAGTTGCTTCTGTAATTCAAAATCAGTGAGCAAAAATCTTTATACCAAAGTTTGAGATAGGCAATTTTCTTTCAGTCCTTGATGTTGAGAGTAGTTATTCCTACTTTACCTACTTGAGATGTCTCCAGTATATACCCAACCTGTATAGTCTCTAGGCTTTGTCTGCTGTCTCCCTTGCCCTTAAAGGCCATGAACACCTAAATTCTTATTTATCCAGTTTTAAAAATGCTCCTAAGCTGAAATTCAGTTTAAGTCCCCAGTGTATTTCATGAAAAATGGTCATCACTCTATGCTTCTGGGAATGGACATTCTAAATCCTGTTATAATTATACTACAAACCTAACAGCCCCAATACCTGATGCAAGCATTTTGGTGATTTTGTTCTTTCTTCTACAAGGTCAGGCATATTGCCAGTTGCCTGCTAATAGCAGAATGACACAGTGGACCTACCCAGTTACAATTCACAAAGGCAACATGGTTTATCCTCTGTCCTCACTGTACAAGATGTGAAGCCTGGCCCTGGCTCCCTAGACTAAGGCACATCCCTGATCTCCAGAAATCATAAGAGGGCAGGGTATGGTATAAGACAGTGGGCCATGTGTTTTTGGAGGCAGAGGTGGAAGGGGTGAAGAGATGAAAGGAGAAAGGTGTTTCAGTGATGAATAGCTATAAGATAGGGGTAATTGAAAACATGAGGGGCTGGTTTCCACAGAGCACTCTCAGAAGAAGCTCAACATCACTGCCTAGAGTAGTATTTCTTAAACATGCCCAGATGTTTGGGCATGGGGCTCCCAGCTAGCCATATTGCAAGTTCTTCCCTCCACATGTGAAGGAGTTCAAAGGTAGAGGCATAAAGATGTACAGAAGAGCAGGATTTATTTGGAATAAGACAAACAGTGCAAGGTTAAAGACAAAGTGTGCATAAGCAGAACAGTCAAAACTGAAAAAAAAAACCAAAAACCTCTCTTCAAGGAAAAAATCCAATAAAGAAAAGCCTCCAACAACAACAACAAAAAAAGTCCCTGACCAAGAAAAATCTCTGAAAAAGGAACTGTCACTCCCACTATCAACAATATTAAGCCTTTCCTTTATACCCTCCAAAGGTATAGGGGGTAGTATAGAGGGTGAAGCACAATTGAGTATTCAAAAGGGCCTGGAGTTTGGGATGGGTCTCAAGTCCTTCTCATTTCTGTGCCCTATTAAAGAAATATCGGGGGCCGGTGCTGTGGTGCAGCGGGTTAATGCCCTGGCCTGAAGTGCCGGCATCCCATATGGGCTCCGGTTCTAGTCCCGGCTGCTCCACTTCTGATCCAGCTCTCTGCTATGGCCTAGGAGAGAGTAGAAAATGGACCAAGTCCTTGGGCCCCTGTTGCACCCACGTGGGAGACCCGGAGGAAGCTCTTGGCTCCCAGCTTCGGATCGGCGCAGCTCCGGCTGTTGCAGCCATCTGGAGAGTGAACCATCAGATGGAAGACCTCTCTGTCTCTACCTCTCTCTGTAACTCTGTCTTTCAAATAAATAAAATACTCTAAAAATAAATATCAGAAGTGTCATGGCATCAGTGTCATGGCATGGAAGTGGGCATGCCCCCCATGGCAATTTTAATTATAATGACCTAAAAGTCACAGTGGAATGGGTTTGGGTGTGGTGGTGGGGAGGATTGGAAGGATGCATCCTGGAGCTGTGTTGGGTATTTCCATCTAGTACTGGTTTCAAGTTGGCAACATTATGAAACTTGTAGTTTCTTTTACTGGGAAAGGGCAGGGGCTTGCTGGTACATGGGAGATGGGCTTTCTGGTGCATAGATAGGGAGACCTGGATTATGCACAGAGAATGGAGTTTGGATGGTACACAGAAGGGTATCTGTCATGTGGGCTAGGCCAGGCTGTTAAATGGGCAGGCCACAGCTGTCTAGTGGTGGGTCAGCCATTGCTGTCAAAATATGAATCGTCTGGAGCTGTCAATCACCGACCCCTGCAGGTGAATGAGGAGCTCTCTATAGCAGTTCGGCTGGGGCTATCAGTTACCACTCTCTGCTGTCAAGTGGGTTGGCAAGATCTGTTTGGCTGTAATTTGGCTGGAGCTATAAATCATTGGCCCGCATTGCCTTGCAGGAGAGGTAGGAACTGTCAGTTTAGCTCCTTCTTTAGCTATCTATGTGGCACAACAATAGGAAACATAATTACTAAAATGAAAATTTGCATTTCCTGAAGTTTCCCCTGAAAATTCTGATTCACTAAATCTTGAGCAGCTGCTATGGAACTTGCTTATGTTTCTGTTTAACAAATAATGTCACACTAGGTAAATACAAATTGTCTTAAAATAAGGATAAACAAGGGACTCCCAGGGTTATGTTTACTATACAAATAACCCCAATCCAATTTCATAGACTATTTGGATGCACAGGATTTCAACAGTAATCTTACAGCAGAAAGCATAGAAAATGTGGTAAAACTAAAATGTAGTAAACTAAAAATCCAAAATATTTTAATTTTGTCCTTTATGAGAGTATGAAGCCTTAGTTTTCCAGGTTTCTAAGCATTAAAAATGACTGAAGAGTCTGCACAGTAACCAGTTTCTGCCCAGAGCCGAGAAAGGAGGCATGTTGCCTGCTGCCACCTTGTGGCAGAATCGTGAAGTTACTGAAGGCTTACTGGAATGGATCCTTTGACTAATACTTATTAACTAACTTGAAAAATCACTTGGGAATCTCTTTTCTCATTTTTGAATAAAGTGTTGTTACTATTAAATTATGCTCTTTGTCTAATTATGTTATTTATGCAAGCAATAAAATATTTAAAAGAATAGTGAAATCAAGCATTAAATATTCTTTTAGCATTGCTAATACTATTTTCCCATTTATGAATGAGACACTTTGTTTCTCCAGGGTTATTCATTTTTCTCCTTATTAAGATGATGAAAATGTAGATACTCATTAGAAATGGGGAACTTGATAAATGAGGGAGGTCTCTGTCATCCTCCTTTCCTTTTTTTTTATTTAGTAAATATAAATTTCCAAAGTACAGTTTATGGATTACATTGGCTTTCCTCCCCCATAACTCCCCTCCCACTCGCACCCCTCCCATCTCCCGCTCCCTCTCTCCTTCCATTCACATCAAGATTCATTTTCAATTATCTTTATATACAGAAGATTGATTCAGTATATATTAAGTAAAGATTTCATCAGTTTGAACCCACACAGAAACACAAAGTGAAAAAATACTGTTTGAGTACTAGTTAGAGCATTACTTCACATTGGACAACACATTAAGGACAGATCCCACATGAGAAGTAAGTGCACAGTGACTCCTGTTGTTGACTTAACAATTTGACACTCTTGTTGATGGCATCAGTAATCTCCCTAGGCTCTAGTCATGAGTTGCCAAGGCTACGGAAGCCTTTTGGGTTTGCCGACTTCGATCTTATTCCGACAGGGTCATAGTCAAAGTGGAAGTTCTCTCCTCCCTTCAGAG